CATACCCCCGGCCGGGATTGAACCCGCGGTCATAGAGTCTCAAAACTCCAGCCCGTCGCGTTAGCCACTAGACCAGCTAGCTACAATAAGATTCATCCAACTAGGTATATTTCTACACCATAGGAAGGTTAGTTCACTGCCGTCATGTTGACGGCAGTGAAGGGACTTGAGCTAGAGTTCGTCACGGCCACGCTAGCTGGAGATTCGTCTGTAAAAACTTGCATTTGTGGTCACAGAGGTGCCTGTGCTAACCTTCCTATGGTGTAGAAATATACCTAGTTGGATGAATGTTATTGTGGCTAGCTGGTCTAGTGGCTAACGCGACGGGCTGGAGTTTTGAGACTCTATGACCGCGGGTTCAATCCCGGCCGGGGGTATGGTTTGATTGGTTATACTTGATCTACTGAAGAGGGTCTCAGTGTGAGGAGTTGTCTTATATTCACTGTCCGAGAGAGAGAGAGAGACCTAACCTTGTCAAACCGTGTGGAAAAGAGAGAGAGAGAGAGAGAGAGAGAGAGAGAGAGAGAGAGAGAGGGAGAGAGGGAGAGGGTGAGGGAGAGGGAGAGAGAGAGAGAGAGAGAGAGAGAGGAGAGAGAGAGAGAGGGAGAGAGAGAGAGTGATAGGGAGAGAGAGAGAAAGACCTAACCTTGTCAAACCGTGTGGAAGAGAGAGAGAGAGAGGAGAGAGAGGAGAGAGAGAGAGAGAGAGAGAGAGAGAGAGAGAGATAGTCGTGTTGGGGGGGGGAATGGGGTCCACCTCTAGTGTAAATTACGGGACCCACAGCCTCGGAGAAGTGGATAAAAAGGCTTCAAGGAAGAATATTTGGATTTCTTCCTGAAGCCATTTAAATATTCCACTTCCCCTACCACCGCATCTTTCCATTTTCTTGCCTTTATATATATATATATATATATATATATATATTATATATATATATATATATATATATATATATATATATATATTACCACATAATATAGTGCAGAACAAGCCACATGAGTTCGGAAAATCAACTCCAGATCTTTCGCACCCTTTGTACGTCGTCAGGAGCTATGCAAAGTTGCAAGACGGTAACAGATAGGAGGGGAAATTCTATGAGGCAGAGTGATGGGTCACTACTGACCTAAACATCTACCTCCTGCATCCCCTCACACCCTAAGGGAAGCTGGTCACCGTCACAGAAAGCAAGTTACAGAATATTAAGAAAACGCAGTAAGCCCCGAACTGCATCAAATCGATATCGACTGATCTGTGGCCATGGAATCAGAGCATGTAACAGCAGTATTATTCAGATTCGCTAGTTGTAGACTATACTATCAGTACGGCACCTGCTCCAGGTAGTTTTCTGTGTTTTCCTTCAGTCGAATATAGGTAAAAACTTGCGATTTTGGCTTAAATAGCAACGCTCTTCTTGCCGAATAAGACATGCGAAAATTTGTGTATGCAATAATTTCGCAAAAATCATTCTGAACCTAACGAAAAATATATATTTCTTTGTGTTTGTTTATTATTAAATTATTGTAAACTTATCTAAAATATATTTAGTTGTATTAGGCTAAATTAAATTGCGCTTGTTATAATAAGGTCAGGTAAGTTTTCTAAGGTTCTTTTGGTACAAAATTATTAATTTTTACATTAACATAAAAAAAATATATATCTTTAAACGTATAAGAGAAAATTTTAGAAAGAACTTAATTATAAATGAGTTCTTGCTAATTGACCAGTTTTACCTATTCGGCACGACATATATATTCTTTGAAAAATACAAATTTAAAGCTGAAATTTTATTGTATATACATTTTTAACATCAAATGTATATAAAAGATATTTTTGTCTACTGAATATCGTCCCATATAAGAAATTTTGATTCTCTAATTTTAAGGGTAACTCAAAAAAAAATATTGTGGGTATTATTAAGTCTCGTGAGTGGTGGAGGTTGGAGTCTACAGCTGTATATCAACACCTGGTTTCTAACTAGTCAGAAACCGGTTAGTGGGGTTTAAATCCTATCGGCTACACGAGGGATCATTCAGGCTGCATGTCCCCTCCTCATCTCCAGTTAAGAATACTCGAATCTCTAAAATAAGGATTCAACTCTGTGGGTAGAATCAAACACATGTACAACATCTGGGTGTCTTTATTATTGACGTTTCGCACATGTGTCTAACTCTTATCGGTACTGTATTCTATACATAAACAAACTGTGTATATACACAGAAAGATATACACAGTGTCACTGACATGTATAGCGTGCAAAATCATGGAAAAGATTGTCAGGAGAAGAGTGCTGGAACACCTAGAAAGGAACGATCTCATCACCAGCAGACAACATGGTTTCAGAGACGGGAAATCCTGTGTCACAAACCTACTGGAGTTCTATGACATGGTGACAGCAGTAAGACAAGAGAGAGAGGGGTGGGTGGATTGTATTTTCTTGGACTGCAAGAAGGCGTTTGACACAGTACCACACAAGAGATTAGTGCAAAAACTGGAGGACCAAGCAGGGATAACAGGGAAGGCACTGCAATGGATCAGGGAATACTTGTCAGGAAGACAGCAGCGAGTAATGGTACGTGGCGAGGTGTCAGAGTGGGCACCTGTGACCAGCGGGGTCCCACAGGGGTCAGTCCTAGGACCAGTGCTGTTTCTGGTATTTGTGAACGACATGACGGAAGGAATAAACTCCGAGGTGTCCCTGTTTGCAGATGACGTGAAGTTGATGAGAAGAGTTCAGTCGATCGAAGCCCGGGCAAAAATACAAGGGATTGGATAGGCTGCAGACCTGGTCCAGCAATGGCCCCTGGAGTTCAATCCCACCAAGTGAAAAATCATGGGGAGGGGGAAAAAGGGAAAAGAAGACCGCAGACGGAGTACGTTAGGGGGCCAGAGACTCAACTCACTCAGGAAAAAGATCTTGGGGGAGTTAACACCAGGACATTCCTGAAGCACACATAACCAAAAAACCCGCTCGGCATATGGGCCCCTAGCAAACCTCAAAACAGCTTTCCCGACCCCTTAAAAAGGAATCGTTCAGGCCTGACACCGTGTACGTTGGCCCCACTTTGGGAGTATGCGGCATAGTTTGGAACCACACCTGGGCCAAGATGAAAAAAGAAATGGGAAAAAGGGAAAAAGGTTTGCAAAAGGACTAGCCCCGGTTTTTGAGGATGCCCTCGAGGAGAGGTTAAGGGAAATCAACCTGACGAATGGGGGACGGGAGGATAGGGGGGTGATAACGATTTAAAAAAATTTGGAGGAATTGAAAAGGTGGACAAAGACGGGATGTTAAAGAGATGGAACAGTAAAAAGGGGAACATTTGGAAGCGAAGACACAGATGAATAAATGGGATTTTTGAAGTATTTCTTCAGCCACAGAGTAGTCAGGAGTGGAATATTTTGGGAAGCGATGTGTGGGGGCGGGATGCATACATGCTTTAAGCAGAGGTACGATGAAGTCATGGTTCGGGGGTGCCCAGTAGCGACCGTGAAGAGGGGGGCCAGGGTTTGGACTCGCCCCCTGCAACCTAAATAGGTGAGTACAACTAGGTGAGTCATTCAGTGAATATCGGTCTGGTGGATTCATCTCGGGTGAGTTCCCTAGTACAGAGAAAAGAAGGAATAGGGAAAAGGGAAAAGGTGAGTAAAAGGGGATGAGTAAACAGGATGGAGTCGTTATGGGAAAAAGGGGAATTCAAAAACCTCTTTTCGGGTACTTGAAAACCCTGGAGTGTTCTTAAAATTTGAACCTCGACCAGAGCTCTAGGTTCTCCTAGCTTCCCTTTTCCGTCACGAGACCCGGGACAGCATTTCCTTTCCCGCGTGGTCGTTGGGCGGCATTTTACAGGGCGTGTCCCCTTTTCCTAGCACTGCCATGAAACACCACACTGGAAAAGAGATCATTCTTGGTCAAGGGAAGACAACACTAAAGAAAATACCTGAAAGGTCAGTTTGGTCAAGGGGAATACCCAGCAACCTGCAGCAGCTGTACAAGGCAAGAAAACCAACAAAATAGAACGGACTCACCCACCCGCATGTTTAAACGGGTTGTCTACAAAATTTTCTCTCCCGACTGGGGGTGTGTTCGCCCACCCCCCAGGTCATCCCCCAGTCAAAAGGCCCCCGAGGTTTAGGGACTCGAAAGGTCCAGTATGTATCTTCCCTCCCGGTTTAAATCATCAATGTTTGCCCCTCCGTCCAAAACCCGGAAGGTGAAAGGCCTCAAATAGAATAAAACGGCATAATATCCTGACTGGAACAAGACACAAATTCCCTGGTTATTCCTGTAAAAGGTTTCAAGGTAATCTCCGTAGAGGTAACAATGGTGTAAGGCGACAGGTAGGTTTAAAAGGCATTAAGTGGTATAAATTATCCTCTCGTTGGACAAACACAGATATAGTATTTATGTGATCATTTATTTCTAACGTTTCTATAACGTTTATACGAAGTGTTACACCTACTGTTGGCCAGTCAGTAGTGCAGACTACTAAATGTACCTGTCTCACGAAATCGTAATGACACGATTGCAAACAAACTATACCACAGGTGGGATTTGGACCCGCGGTCAGAGAGTCTCAATACTCCAGACCGTCGCGTTAGCCACTGGACCAGCTAGCTTCAATATGATTCATCCAACTAGGTATATATCTACACCATAGGAAGGTTAGCATGACCTTCCTATGGTGTAGAAGTATTCCTAGTTGGACGAATCTTATTGAAGCTAGCTGGTCCAGTGGCTAACGCGACGGTCTGGAGTTTTGAGACTAACCGCGGGTTCAAACCCCACCCGTGGTATGGTTTACGTACATCTGTCTTGTTCAGCTATCAAAACTCTGCGGTACAGTCCATGGACCCATTATGTACCTCTGTAATTTTGACTACCGTCCCCAGGGTGGGATTGGGGTGCATGATAAAGATATGAATCTGACAGAGTACAAGACTGGGGGTCCTTATCTCCCAGGTGGGTTTAACACCCCCTTGCCACACTCCCGTAGTTGACATACCGTTCCACGATTTTATGACTTGTGAAGTTCCATTAAGCCCAGCCTCTTCCATTTTGTTGAGGTATTCTTTGTTGATATAATCGATGTCTTTGGTGTTGGGGTGGACGAGTATGCCTTCTGTGTTACGCAGGAAGCATCTACCATAGTGACCCAGACCAGCACCGAGGTCAGCCACGGTAGAACTCCCGAAGAGTGTCTCCAGACCTACACACAGCTGCACAAACACATGGTTACTAATAACACGTAAGAAAGAAGTCAAAACTGACAGCTAGCACATAAGAAAAACTTCGATATTTTGCTCTGACTTCAACCATTGATTCGTCAGTGGTCCACCTCGGACCGAAACGTCGTTATAAGTTACTGTCTCCTAGGTGAGGGTTCATTTATGTATTGTTGCAGTCACGGTATTGTGGCTCTTTGTTATTTAAGGTTTTGTGGCTTGAGACAGTGGAAGACTAGGTAATCAGTCCCTCAGTGGAAGACTAGGTAATCAGTCCCTCAGTGGAAGACTAGGTAATCAGTCCCTCAGTGGAAGACTAGGTAATCAGTCCCTCAGTGGAAGACTAGGTAATCAGTCCCTCAGTGGAAGACTAGGTAATCAGTCCCTCAGTGGAAGACTAGGTAATCAGTCCCTCAGTGGAAGACTAGGTAATCAGTCCCTCAGTGGAAGACTAGGTAATCAGTCCCTCAGTGGAAGACTAGGTAATCAGTCCCTCAGTGGAAGACTAGGTAATCAGTCCCTCAGTGGAAGACTAGGTAATCAGTCCCTCAGTGGAAGACTAGGTAATCAGTCCCTCAGTGGAAGACTAGGTAATCAGTCCCTCAGTGGAAGACTAGGTAATCAGTCCCTCAGTGGAAGACTAGGTAATCAGTCCCTCAGTGGAAGACTAGGTAATCAGTCCCTCAGTGGAAGACTAGGTAATCAGTCCCTCAGTGGAAGACTAGGTAATCAGTCCCTCAGTGGAAGACTAGGTAATCAGTCCCTCATTGGAAGACTAGGTAATCAGTCCCTCAGTGGAAGACTAGGTAATCAGTCCCTCAGTGGAAGACTAGGTAATCAGTCCCTCAGTAGAAGACTAGGTAATCAGTCCCTCAGTGGAAGAGGAGGTAATCAGTCCCTCAGTGGAAGACTAGGTAATCAGTCCCTCAGTGGAAGACTAGGTAATCAGTCCCTCAGTAGAAGACTAGGTAATCAGTCCCTCAGTGGAAGAGGAGGTAATCAGTCCCTCAGTGGAAGACTAGGTAATCAGTCCCTCAGTGGAAGACTAGGTAATCAGTCCCTCAGTGGAAGACTAGGTAATCAGTCCCTCAGTAGAAGACGAAGTAATCAGTCCCTCAGCCTGGAGTCGATGTGTTCAATCCATCAATCTTGTAAAGAATATAGTATATGCGTTGAGAAGGAGATTACATACTGCAGACAGGTGAGGTGAAGAAGTTGGAGGCGGCGTCACCTTGGATAAATCCACAGGTGGAAGTAGGTCATAACTACAGGTTAGACAAATATAGAATTACACTGTCAAGATCCCAAGACGTTGCTGTGTCTGACAGGAATGCAGATAACTGGTTCAGATAACCAACAGGTTCATCAGACTGTTGGTTCTCTGAACCAGTTATCATACCTCGTCTTAAAGCTATGTATGGGACCTGCCTCCGCTACATCGCTCGCCAGACTGTTCCACTTCCTGACCAGTCTGTAACTGAAGAAATACTTCCTAACATCCCTGTGACTCATCTGAGTCTTCAGCTTCCAAAAGTGACCCCTTGTTTCTGTGTCCCATCTCTGGAACATCTTGTCTCTGTCCACCTTGTCTATTCCACGCAGTATTTTGTATGTCGTTATCATGTCTCCCCTATCCCTCCTGTCCTCCAGTGTCGTCAGGCCGACTTCCCTCAACCTTGTGTGTACAAATCAGAGTGTTTATTAATCATTAAATTCATTCTAGATATCCGTCAGGAAGTTCCTGATGTTCTCTACATTCTCGAGCATTCTCTTCCACATTATCTGAGAGGAAGTTGATCAACCCACACGTCCGTAAAACTGTGTGGAATCTCCGAGCAAGTTGAGTGTTCCTGTTGTGGACCATGATTGCCTCTCATGGGCCAGTAGGCCTACTGCAGTGCTCCTTCGAGTTTGTTGAGTGTTCTTGTTGTGGATCATGATTGCCTCTCATGGGCCAGTAGGCCTACTGCAGTGCTCCTTCGAGTTTGTTGAGTGTTCTTGTTATGGATCATGTGACTTTGTCAATGGTCCAAGTCGGACCGAAACGTCGTCGTAAGCTTCTGTCTTTTATGCGCGGGTTATTTGTGTATCATGTTTGCCTCTCATGGGCCAGTAGGCCTACTGCAGTGTTCCTTCTTTCTTATATTTCTTATGTTTCTCCAGCATCAGTTGAATCTGTAGTAACCTGCTCAGAATCCTTGTTAAAGGTTCAGATATGTCGTCTGGATCCTCCAGAAGAATCACGATCTCGACTGGATGTGAAGAAATTATCTTCTTGCTGACGGTCTGTCTTGTCGCTTACTGTTTCCTGCTTCCAGTGTTTCTTTTGACAGTCTGTCTTGTCGCTTACTGTTTCCTGCTTCCAGTGTTTCTTTTGACGGTCTGTCTTGTCGCTTACTGTTTCCTGCTTCCAGTGTTTCTTTTGACAGTCTGTCTTGTCGTTTACTGTTTCCTGCTTCCAGTGTTTCTTTTGACGGTCTGTCTTGTCGCTTACTGTTTCCTGCTTCCAGTGTTTCTTTTGACGGTCCGTCTTGTCGCTTACTGTTTCCTGCTTCCAGTGTTTCTTTTGACGGTCTGTCTTGTCGCTTCCTGTTTCCTGCTTCCAGTGTTTCTTTTGACGGTCCGTCTTGTCGCTTACTGTTTCCTGCTTCCAGTGTTTCTTTTGACGGTCCGTCTTGTCGCTTACTGTTTTCTGCTTCCAGTGTTTCTTTTGACGGTCCGTCTTGTCGCTTACTGTTTCCTGCTTCCAGTGTTTCTTTTGACAGTCTGTCTTGTCGCTTACTGTTTCCTGCTTCCAGTGTTTCTTTTGACGGTCCGTCTTGTCGCTTACTGTTTCCTGCTTCCAGTGTTTCTTTTGACGGTCTGTCTTGTCGCTTCCTGTTTCCTGCTTCCAGTGTTTCTTTTGACAGTCTGTCTTGTCGCTTACTGTTTCCTGCTTCCAGTGTTTCTTTTGACAGTCTGTCTTGTCGCTTACTGTTTCCTGCTTCCAGTGTTTCTTTTGACGGTCCGTCTTGTCGCTTACTGTTTCCTGCTTCCAGTGTTTCTTTTGACGGTCCGTCTTGTCGCTTACTGTTTCCTGCTTCCAGTGTTTCTTTTGACGGTCTGTCTTGTCGCTTCCTGTTTCCTGCTTCCAGTGTTTCTTTTGACGGTCCGTCTTGTCGCTTACTGTTTCCTGCTTCCAGTGTTTCTTTTGACGGTCCGTCTTGTCGCTTACTGTTTTCTGCTTCCAGTGTTTCTTTTGACGGTCCGTCTTGTCGCTTACTGTTTCCTGCTTCCAGTGTTTCTTTTGACAGTCTGTCTTGTCGCTTACTGTTTCCTGCTTCCAGTGTTTCTTTTGACGGTCTGTCTTGTCGCTTCCTTTTTCCTGCTTCCAGTGTTTCTTTTGACGGTCCGTCTTGTCGCTTCCTGTTTCCTGCTTCCAGTGTTTCTTTTAATGGCTGTTTCCAGGCATAGAATTTCTCGCTAACTTTTGTATCTTATTCTGCAAAAATCTCCTCAGTTTTTGTTGAGTTCAATGGTTGTATTTTTCAGTCGTGTTCCTACTGGTTTATCTGTGTTATAGTATAGCTGTGTTGTAGTTTATCTGTGTTGTAGTTTATCTGTGTTGTAGTTTATCTGTGTTGTACTTTATCTGTGTTGTAGTTTTATCTGTGTTATAGTTTATCTGTGTTGTAGTTTAGTTGTGTTGTAGTTTATCTGTGTTGTTGTTTATCTGTGTAGTAGTTTATCTGTGTTATAGTTTATCTGTGTTGTAGTTTATCTGTGTTATAGTTTATCTGTGTTGTAGTTTAGTTGTGTTGTAGTTTATCTGTGTTGTAGTTTAGTTGTGTTGTAGTTTATCTGTGTTATAGTTTATCTGTGTTGTAGTTTAGTTGTGTTGTAGTTTATTTGTGTTATAGTTTATCTGTGTTGTAGTTTAGTTGTGTTGTAGTTATCTGTGTTGTAGTTTATCTGTGTTATAGTTTATCTGTGTTGTAGTTTAGTTGTGTTGTAGTTTATCTGTGTTGTAGTTTAGTTGTGTTGTAGTTTATCTGTGTTATAGTTTATCTGTGTTGTAGTTTATCTGTGTTATAGTTTATCTGTGTTGTAGTTTAGTTTGTGTGTTTTAGTTTATCTGTGTTATAGTTTATCTGTGTTGTAGTTTAGTTGTGTTGTAGTTTATCTGTGTTGTAGTTTAGTTGTGTTGTAGTTTATCTGTGTTGTAGTTTATCTGTGTTATAGTTTATCTGTGTTGTAGTTTAGTTGTGTTTGTAGTTTATCTGTGTTGTAGTTTATCTGTGTTGTAGTTTATCTGTGTTATAGTTTATCTGTGTTGTAGTTTAGTTGTGTTGTAGTTTATTCTGTGTTGTAGTTTAGTTGTGTTGTAGTTTATCTGTGTTGTAGTTTATCTGTGTTGTTGTTTAGTTGTGTTGTAGTTTATCTGTGCTGTAGTTTATCTGTGTTGTAGTTTAGTTGTGTTGTAGTTTAGTTGTGTTGTAGTTTATCTGTGTTATAGTTTATCTGTGTTGTAGTTTAGTTGTGTTGTAGTTTAGTTGTGTTGTAGTTTATCTGTATTGTAGTTTATCTGTGTTGTAGTTTATCTGTGTTGTAGTTTATCTGTGTTGTAGTTTATCTGTGTTGTAGTTTATCTGTGTTATAGTTTAGTTGTGTTGTAGTTTATCTGTGTTGTAGTTTAGTTGTGTTGTAGTTTATCTGTGTTGTAGTTTTATCTGTGTTGTAGTTTATCTGTGTTGTTGTTTAGTTGTGTTGTAGTTTATCTGTGTTATAGTTTATCTGTGTTTTAGTTTATCTGTGTTGTAGTTTATCTGTGTTGTAGTTTATCTGTGTTGTAGTTTATCTGTGTTGTAGTTTATCTGTGTTGTAGTTTATCTGTGTAATGGTTTATCTGTGTTGTAGTTTAGTTGTGTTGTAGTTTATCTGTGTTGTAGTTTATCTGTGTAATGGTTTTCTGTGTTGTAGTTTAGTTGTGTTGTAGTTTATATCTGTGTTGTAGT